GCTCCGATTCGACCAGCTTTACCGCCTCGTCAATAGGCAGATTCGGATCCACGGTGAACTCCACGAGAGGTAGAATTTCTGAAAAACAAACGAAAAATATAAAATTGATGGAGAATACAGTGATACTCACCAAACGTAGCAAACGAATGTACAAACGCCGTCTTGCAGTGGATACAGTTCATGCCGCATGTGAGGGGGTTGTTGAATCCACATCTACAAAAGAATCAAGATGTGCCATGCATTCGTTATTCGTACATGATCGCCGAGTTATTTGAAAACGTACGTAGTCTTCATAAAGTTATTAGGGAATAGTAAAGGCCAGATTAATTGAATTTCATAGTATGTTCTACTGGTTGGTGGAGCAGGAATCGGTGTGCCTTGCATGTGTTGCACACCTCAATGGGCTGACTTATGGGAACGTAAATTGCTCTTTGCATGCTCCTTGTACCACATATAACAATTACTGTCGCATAATGAAGTCGGTGGCATTATCCCCGAAAAATTCAGGCCACCCGATAGGGGGCCGTCCGGCGGCTAAAACAGACTTAGACGGGTCAGCGGACGAGTTGCAGCGAGTACTGTAATGATTTGCGTAAAGTTAAAGGCACAACCCAGGCAGAGGTCGTGTGAACGCTTCCCTTCGGTCTGTAGTATAGACCCTAGAGGACAATCACAAATGTGGCGTTCCCGTGCACGGAAACCAACCGACAAGAGCGCTTGGGCCTTGCAAAGTAAGCTGCTGAAGCTGCAGTTTTTTCTCTTATCAGGCTGTTGTCTGGCGCTCTCTCATCTGTAGCGCTCTCGCCTCATACTCTCCTCTCCGCGCTTAGTCTCTCATTCCCTTAGCACAGCCGATTAGGAAGGTGAGTAAGCTGTCAACCTAAGCGTTTCCGACGGATTCTTTCTTCTTTTCTTATGTTAGGCGCTTCGCCTTAATTAATATCCAAACTATTGGACCCACTACCCTTCAGTTTCCCAAAAGTGCTCAAGATAGTCAGTGCGCCTTCGAATGATCTATAGACTCAAGTTAAAACTTTCCATGCTAATTCTGGCAGATTGGCTTATGAAAGCAACAGGAGTCGCATGACCAAGTGATCTGTTTTTTTTTTTCAATACCTGCTCTGCAGCTAAAACAACACGAGAGCCGAAGTAAAAGACGTTTTCCAGTGACTTTTACTCGGGCATGAGTCAAAAAGCAAAAATGAAACACTTCGCTGTTTATAATTGAGCTGTAGTACAGGTGGAGAATCTAACCTGTGACATACAGGTAACAGATCGTCAGCATCCGAGAACGGTTTGGCTCTGATGTTCACCGTCATCAGTTCTACATCACGCTGAAGACGTGGTGGCACTCGTAAGCTCCCCAAACGATCAAGAGTATCACGTGCCAGCTTGTAGGCACCAAGTTCACGTCCTATACGAGCTATGGTGTAGCAAATAAGCCTGAAAGCATCATCCATTGAGAAACGTGGATGGATGTTTTCCAGCTCTTTTGCTTCTCTCTTAAGAGCCT